CTTTCCCTAGTTTTTTTAATGAGGATGGGGTGATCAACAGTGTCAAAGGCCCTGCTGAAGTCCAGAAAGACTACATCCATGGCGACGCCTGCATCCAATACTTTTGTGACCTGATCGTAAAAGGCAATCAGGTTGGTCTGACATGACCTACCCCTAATGAAACCGTGCTGGTTGCCCTTGAGCATCATCCCCGATGCCAGCCCATCACAGATGTGCTCCTTGATAATCTTCTCAAAGAGCTTCCCCAGGATTGAGGTAAGACTCACAGGCCCAGGTTTTCTGTGATGGTACCAGAAGCCCGGTAGCCCCGGCTATAACAGGGGCTTAGCTCCTGACTTCACTGGGAGCTGGCAAATCCTAAAACCTCTAACTGCAGCTAGGTTTTTCAGAGTTTCCAGGCTCCTTGTTGAGGAATTAAGACTCAGACTGTCTGGGAACCACAGATCCTGGGATCTACCTGCCCCTTTTCCCAGCTGCTTGGTGAAATTGAGATTTTTTTCTTACAGGCTCACTGCCAAAAGAATGTAACTTTTGCTGTGCAGCTGCAAGTCTTCTGGAAGCATATTTAATTCTCAAAAAACTATGTCTCAGTATTTGAAAAAAATGTCCAGGTGGCAGGAAATCTTGGATTTTATTCTAGCCCAATTTGAACCAAAGCCAAATTGTACAAGACATACATTTCTATTGAGTGGAAAACGTACCTTTCAGCTGTCTCTAATCCTGTATGCAACATAAACTACCTTACTGTTTGCTAAAGAGATGTCTTTAGCTAATAAAGCCTTGCAAGACAGACCACCTTAATCAGAATAATTGTAGAAATATTCTTAATGAATGAAACAAATGGGAAGTCACTCTGCTTATGCTTTTTTTACATGATAATATATTTACCTGAAAACAAGATCATATTCTTCCCCACTTCTTCTTCCTCTTCCCCCCGCTCCTCCCCACTGTAATCAGTATGGGAAAAAAAGCCCCTCATCTTACACTTGCATATAAGGAAACCTAATTAAATACACTGTGGGTGAATCTACGCATGCTATTAGCATGTAGTAATAAACTCCGGTATATATCATATATCGCACCAGAGTTTATTGCTTCTGGACCTAATGTTTGAACATGCACGTGAGACAGCAGCATGTTGAGCCAAGTCAGAGCAGCCCCAGCCGGCAGGGGGTCCAGGGCTCAGCCTCCCTAGCCTGGGGCTGTTCTAACTCAGCTCAACGTGCTGCAGAGGGGCTGGCTGAGGCATGAGGGTGCTCCACTGTGAGGCTAGCCAGCAGGTAGCCCCTACACTGAAGCACTCTCATGTCCCAGCCAGCCAAGTCAGGGTCTACATATGCACTGCTGCACATGAAAAAACTTTGCAACAGGATAGTACTTGTATTTACTCGGCCACAAACATCTCATGCAGATGCACCCTGCCCATCATTAAACTGCTGCCAAAAGCAGCACATGGTTAGCAATGGAAACTGACTGTGAAGTTGATTAAATACAGCCAACACTGAGCATTTTTGCCCACAAGGTGCAAACATGCTGATAGGAAGAGAAGGTTGAGAGGCGACCTTGTGGCTGCCTATAAGTTCATCACGGGGGCAGAGAAGGGAATTGGTGAGTTTTTATTCACCAAGGCGCCCCCGGGGGTTACAAGAAATAATGGCCACAAGCTAGCAGAGAGCAGATTTAGATCGGACATTAGGAGGAACTTCTTCACAGTTCAAGTGGCCAAGGTCTGGAATGGGCTCCCAAGGGAGGTGGTGGTCTCCCCTACCCTGGGGGTCTTCAAGAGGAGGTTAGATAGGCATCTAGCTGGGGTCATCTAGACAGGGGGTCGGACTCCATGATCTATTGAGGTCCATTCCAACACTAACATCTATGAATCTTTTCTTTCTCTCGTCCTTAAAAAAAAAAAAAAAAAATGTGGGTGTTCCTGACAGGGAACTGGCACCACGCCAACACTGGGAGAACCAAAGCCAGCCTAACACCCTCCCATTAAAGCCAAAAATGCTTGATCTTAGCAAAACAGATGAGATGCTGATGGAGACCTACAACAAAGGAAGGTTAGTTTAGTACATTTGAATAAAATATATGGTACTGCCCATTGTTTTCAATCCTCTTCAGAACCAATTCTTTTCAAGTTATGGTGAGGATACATTGAGTACAATTCAACTTTGTCTTCACTCCCACAGCTGAGCAATGCCTTTCTTTTCCATTTCCAATGATTCCTGTCTCTTCACCAGCCTTAAAGGTCTGGCAAACATCACCAAACAGGGTCCCAAACAGTTCACCCAGAATCCCTCTGTTGTCCCCTGCTCTCAGCCTGTCACACATGATTAATGTGGCCCCACACTCTGTGAAGTGGAGCCAGACCAGGTTTCCCTGTACCTCATCTGCATATAAATTTTTGTAGGATCCCAGGACTCGTGACAAAAACAGCTGGTTCCAGTCCTAAGTGGAGGACTAATTAGCACATGAATCCTTTGTGGTGGGTATCTGAGTACACACACACACACATATTGAGCGACGGGATCACCATGGCTTGAAATGCTGTTGACTCTGCTGGGGCCCAGCCCAATGGACTATATGGTAAATCATGAGCTTTTTGGCTTTATGCATAGTTTGCACTATACCTAAGTAAGTACAGAAGTTCTGTTTAAAATTGTGTTTATGGAGTACCTGTACTAAAACTTGCAACAGTTGCAAAAAAGGTAAAATTCATTAGTTTCAAATGAAGTAAGTCTATATTATTGCAAGTTCAGTGTTTTCAAATTTGCTCCTCACTTCCATGTGCTCAGGAAGAGAAGAGTCTGACAGCAAAGAGAGGCAGGGGAAGAGGCTGCAGGAGGAAGAAGCTGGAGACAGGCAAAGGGCAAGGGGGCTACCTAACAGCCCAGATTTATTTTCCCTGTTGTAGCAGTGGGAAGGGGGATACATTCAAGGCAAACCTTCAATAATTAGATTATAAACTTGAAAAATTATAACAAATTTATAAATTTTCCATATATAAAATCTAATTATTGGGGAGTTATCTTATATTCAAATAAATATGGCAAGACCACATACATTAACTTTAATGCAAACCTGCCTTAATAGTCCAATTCTAAGATAGTGGATGGTACAAAATTTAAGTCATACTATAGATCAGCAACTTTTTAATTGTAAAGAATTTATCATTTAGATTTCAAAATAACTTAGAGCATGGATACATGTGAGTTTGTTGCAGCTTCCAAAGATGTTGGGGGTGGTGCACGGGGCGCGAGGAGGCAGCTGTTGCTTAGCAGTGCTGAGCAGCTATTATGCTGTAACCGTTGTGTGCATGAGCATGTAGCAATGCCACTAGCAATACCCTCTCTACACATTACACTTAAAGTGTGATTAACCAGGAAATTATCCCTTAAGTTATGACCCAGCTACACATTCAACCAATTGATGGTGTGATAAAACAAGCAATGAGGTACAAAGTTATTCCATAAAAATGTGTAATAACTTTCTATTAATAACATGATTAGAACAAACTGCAATGTGTAGCCAAGTACCCCCCGTGGCTGGGAGCCCCATCTACTGAGGGGCTCCCAGGCACAGGGGTGCACCATCCACTGCCAGACAAACAGTTGACAAGGCCCGCAATGGTGGAAGCATCTTCAGCTGTGGGACTCCCACCAGGGCCAGATTAACCCTTTAGTAGGCCGTAGGCAAACAAATTCATGGGCCCCTACTTTTTTCACTCAATAATTATAATATGTAAAACAAGCACAACTGGGCCCCTTCTTTATTTAGGGCCCTAAGCGTGTGCCTCATTTGCATATGCATTAGTCTAGCCCTGGCTGTCACTGCTATGAGCCTCATGAAGTGTGGGGCTCACAACATTCCCCAAACTGCCTCTGTTATGAGCTCCACAGCACATTTGGCATGGCAGAAGGCATGCTTGTATGGATCGCACATTAGATCCCATTGCACCTTTACTTGAACATGTAGAGGGACCCTTAGTATTTCAAAACCACTTTAATTTGAATCCTGCTTCATCAAGAGTCAAAGTTGGGGCACTGAACTTTTTCATATTGCTACTGATTCATGATCACATAGCAATTACAATGTAATACCTGCTATATGCTCTTGAGCAGCACCTCCCCTTTTGAAGCCACTGGAAACATACATTTGTCCATACCCTTATACACTTACCAGAGAAAAAGGGCTCCTTTCTTCAGAAGGAGCTGTACAACCTTCTCATGACCATTTTGGGATGCCAGGTGAAGGGGAGTCATTCCCTTCCTATCACCTTCATTCAAAAGCCTTGTGTCTTCCATGTCTCTTAGAAGTCTCTGACAGGTGTTAATTCGCCCATAACTTTAAAAGATTAATGAATAAATTAACACTTAGAAAATCCAGAAGGAGAAAATGGTACTAATGTACTACGTAAAAGACAGCACTTACCTAGCTGCAAAATGCAGGGGGGACTTCTTGTCTCTACTTTTAGAATAGATGGAAACATTCAAGTTCAGCAATTTGTTTACAGACAGGGCAACCCCTTGTCTACATGCATAATGTAGGGGAGTACACCCTTCATTGTCTTCATCTACCACAAGTTCTTTAATATGTTTCATCTGTCACAAAAAGAAATAGTTCCACATGCATTATTCCTACAGGTCCTAACTAGTTGCTCATAATTTTAAAGCACTTTTTTAAAGATCTGTATGTAGCTTTCAGAATGGCAAAATAACAAAGAGGAAGAGCCATTAGCAACCTATGCATACTAATTTCAAGCTTTCAGTGGACTATACCTCACAAGAACTTAGCAATTTAGAATCAGAGAAACTTAGGTTTGGAAGGGACCTCAGGAGGTCATTTAATCCAACCCCCTACTCAGAGCAGGACCATCCCCAACTAGATCATCCCAGCCAAAGTTTTCCACAGCTGGGTCTTGAAAACCTCCAAAGATGGAGATTCCACCACCTCTCTGAGTAACATGTTCTAGTGTTTTACTACCCTCCTACTGAGAAAATTCTTCCTAATATCTAACCTAAACTTCCCTTGCCATAACTTGAGACCATTGCTCCTTGTTTTGTCATCTGTCTCCACTGAGAACAGTCTAGCTCCATCCTCTTTTGAACCCCACATCAGGTAGTTGAAGGCCACTATTTAGTCCCCTCTCACTTTCCTCTTCTCTAGACTAAATAAGCCCAGTTACCTCAGTCTTCCCTCAAAACTCATGTCCCCCAAGCCTCTCAACATTTTTGTTACCCTTCACTGGACTCTCTCCAATATCTCCACATCCTACTCCAGATGTAGCCTCACCAGTGCTGAAAAGAGAAGAATAATTACTTCCCTTGACCTACTGCCAACACTCCTACCAATGAAGCCCAGTACACCATTAGCCTTCTTGGCAACAAGGGCACACTGCTGGCTCATATTCAGCTTATTGTCCACTGTAAACCCCAGGTCCTTTTCTGCAGAGCTGCTGCCCAGTCAGCCAGTCCCTAACCTTTACTTCAGTATGGGATTGTTGCATCCTAAGTGCAGGACTTTGCATTTGTCCTTGTTGAACCTCATGAGATTCCTTTTGGCCCAATCCTCCAATTTGTCTAGATCATGAACTAGCGCTATTCTCCTCTCCAGGATACCTATTACATCAAGCTTGGTGTCATCTGCAAACTTGCTAAGGGTGCACTCTATGCCATCTTCCAGGTCACTGATGAAGGCATTGAGCAAAACCAGTCCCAAGACTGACCTCTGAGGCACACCACTTGATACTGGTTGCCAACTAGACAGGGAGTTTTTGATTACTACTCTTGAAGCTCGATGCTCCAGCCAATTTTCTATCCACCTTACAGTCCATTCATTCATCCCTAACTTGTGGTATAGAGCAATAAAACTCTGCATTAATAACAGAGGAGGGGTAATACAGACAATGCAAGATATTCTATCACTGTTCTGCCAGAATGTTTCAACCATAACAAACTGGTTACTGATGTCAGTGAAAAGTTTGTACAGAGAGCAAGGGTAGACTATAGCAGTGTTCAGGTAGTAAGAGAACAGCATCTCTACTCAGAGAAAAAATACACTGCATTTTAGCTGTTACTATTTGTACCTTACTTTTCCCTTTTTCCTTAACTTCATTTCTCCTTTTTTCCCCACCCTCTATCTTTATGATTATTCTGCATTTTCTCTGCATTGATATTACCTTCCAATCTCAAACTCAGAACAGTTTGGGTGCAGACAGAAGTATAGCTCCCTGCAGTAATTCATGGTGCCATGAGTTGCCATGAAGCAAACCCGCAGACCCAACAGACATTCGCTGTTGGGTCCCAGGGGTTGGGGGATTGAGCTGCAGTTTAGAGTGGTGGTAAGTCTGAAGCCTCTCCCCCCTGATTCTGCCCCTCCCCCTTCCTAGCCCAAGTGCTGTCTTCAGAATGGGGGCGGGGGGGAAGGGAGTAGAGAGAGCTTGTTCTGGGGGTTACCCAGATGGTGCTGGAGGGTGGGGTGGGTGGACTGGATCCAGATGCACCACCCTCCAGCAGCAGCTGGGCAACCCGCAGAATGAGCTCCCTCCACTCCTTTCCCCCTTCCTATTCTGAAGACAGTGCCAAAAGCTCCCAGCATGCACAGACACAAGTTAATGAAGGCACTCCACTTTGGAACATTTTCATCTGAACCCTCATGTAATGGGGTCACAGGATAAGACCTTTTTAAAGCACTCTGCAGCCATGCACTTGTGTTACGCCATGGCTGTAGAGTGCTTTCAGGGTCCAGTCATGCAACAACATGTCACTTATGTCAGTGCCCTTTACTTCCATTCTAATCCTACTCTTTTGGTCCAATTACTAAAATGATCAGTGATTAAATAGTCAAATGTGGACACTAGACTTTCCTGGTTATAGTTTAAAGTTGATTCTCCAACTACATTAAAAAGAGATTGGTGAGATAAAATCTGAGAAATCATTGGTTTAAGATTTCTGCAGGTTGAAGCTGATGTCACTGAATTGGCTACACTGTATTCAGATTTGAAAAGCTCAGGGCAGAGACACATATGTTTGGAGTGGCTTCAAAAGGACAGAGGAAGCTGCTGCTTAGGAGCATGTGGCGGCTGTTACACTCTTAACTAAATTGCATGGTTTTGAGCAATACAAGCAAGATAAACTGCCTCAATTTTGACCCTTAATGAAGTAAAGTTAAAACTGAGGCAGTTCTTATTGCTACCTGCTCATGCACACATAACAGTTACACTGTAACAGCTACAGCACCTCCTGTTTCCTTTTGAAGCTATATCACAAATCTGTAGCTCTGTTGGCTAAAACCTTAAGAACAAAAGAAAAATTACATTCTGGAGAATATGAATATTTATAGTGGCCAATAAAATTTATCTCAAATTGATGAAGTTTAAAATATGACTGGGACTTTATAGAGCCCATTCAAACTATAGACTTCATAAGAATGGGCAAAATAATGGCAAAAAGTGTTAGGGTGATGATATTTGGACCTTGGGGAGCACTGGGTATGCAGCTGAATAAAGGCTTTTTTCTGTCTCTCAGCAAAAGCTGCTGGTCACAAGACAGGATGATATATTAAAAGTATCTAACTTTGCAAATGCTTAAGTAAGTGGTTTCCTAACAAAAGGATAGGGTGCGAAGTGCATGATGTGTTGTGTATGAAAAGATGCAGCCCACCAGCTATTGTCAGGAGATAAAACAAGACCTTCAAGATGGTGCTGAAGTCAGCAAAAAACCAGAAAGAACCAGCAAGTGATGGGAGAAAGCAGAGGTCAAAGTCTTAGGCATGCGCTCTTAGCAAAGAGGCATGTAAATGAATGAAATGCATAGGCAATACCATGCTAATGAAGCAAACAGTAAACAGAGGCGGAGCTCGAGATGGGAAGAGAAATGGGTGGAACCGAAGGAGGGTCATAGGCAGAGTGAATGTTAATGAGTATGAACCAAGGTGTATAAATGTGGAAAGAACTATTGTTCAGGGCAGGTCCCCAGCTTGTTGGATTTTTGGGACCTGGCCCAAAGCTGTCTCCATTCTGAATAAAGCTGTTGTGAGCAATGTGTGCTGGTGTTTGCTCCCTGCTTGCTCTGGCAAATGAATAACAGGACCCATGAGCAATTGGATCGTCATCTCCCTAGTCATTGGGTGTCACATGGAGTTGGGGGTCTAACAAAAAGTTCTATATTATACTGCTAATTTCTTGAGCCTTTCACTCCTTTACACCCCACAGCCAATTAGTTTCTGACTTTATTGATGAAGAAAAGTGGTTCTCTCTCTTTTACTCCCCACTCCTTGCCCCAGAGATTTATAGTTCATTTTACTTATAAAGTTGCCCCAGTGTCCAGAAATAGTTTAAATATTTTCACATATACTATGAGAACATTACCAAGTCCTTAATATAGCTTTTTCATTGAAAGTCAAAGAAATACATATTCTCAAAGGCTTAATCCATTCCATATACACAGGTACAAATTGATGCTCACTGTACCTGCAGAAAGGTCTCATTCAAATGTTGTAGTCCTCCAGGTTGCAGGACAGTCAAATGCAAGAAATTCCGACCAAGTTGATCTTTTAATGATACATTTGCTCCTTAATGAATAGAGAAATACTAGTCATTTCAAAACCGCTGGTTCTTACAGTAATCAAGATTAAGTTTAAAACATGCAGATTAAAATTAAATGAAAAACAACTAAACCAAGCCACCATCACAAAATAAATCAGAACTTGTCCTCAAACAAAAGTTTCTATTGATAGAAACTTTCAACTTGCAATAACATTTGTTTCATAGTAGCATTGAGATAGTATCGTTTACAGAGACCTATTCACAGATAATGAGCATCCATATATCCAGCTATGAATGGGAGATCTAGACAGTCACCACCTCTAAATATCAAGCCCATACTTTGTACACTCCTTTTGAAGTCTCATTTTTTCAACTGTGCTTGTACTCTTTTTAATAGAATGTGCTCAAGCAATTTTATTTGAGTTACACTCTAACATCATCATAACAACTGGACAACCAAGAAGTTTGGCAACCCTTAAAGACATACAGTCTCTTGTCTACTAGAAGTAAAGGTGTGAATGAAAGGCATTTTCCTTTCTAAAAACTTTTATTTTAAAATGCTGATAAAATAAGCTTTAAATATTGATGAGAGAAATAGAATAACAATTTTTGCAGTAACTTCTATTTAAAAATATGGTAACAGACAATTAAATTTCAACTTTTGCTAAGGGTACAGTGGCATAATAATGTTTTAGGTGTTGCTACACTGAAACCAAAGTCTACAATTTAGGTTTAAAATCCAATATGGTCTGACTGTGCAAGAGTGCCATTTTCTGGTATAACAGTTCTGCCCCTTCTTTGTGCATTCAGTAGGGCAGAGCTCTGAGTTCCTGGAGAGATCAGGCAGAGCACAACTGCCACACCTCCCAGAAGAAGTGCACAACTGAAGAGGGTGCAGAAATGTGGTCTTCTGCAGCCCCCCAGCTCTGTACTTAATGTGGAAAGGCTGGGCCTTGACCTGGCTCCTCACTGGCTCTTTGGAGGATTTAGTAGTCCAGAGAGTACCAGTATGGAGCATTCTTGCACTCAGTTGTGCCTGATGTCAAGGGAGGAAGATTTAAGGGTAGACAAGGGTGAGTCCATTGAGAGAATCTTAACCTGTAAGAATCTTCCTTGGATAACATGTAATATTCATTTCTTTTTTTGTACCTTTTGAGAGTAGTAAATTAACAATTTTCCATGATGCACAAGAAGTAGCCAACAGAAGTGGTGACCGACCCTCTGTGTCAATACTATTGATATTTGCACCCTGCAATAAAAAGGCCCAAGTTTATTCATAAACATTAAAAAATGGCAATAGTGCTGCCTCTTAAAAACAGGGCAGAATTATAGGCACTACTAGTCACTTGCCAGATGCTTTGAACTATGTCAATTAAGTTAACACATTCATCTTTATTTAAATAACTGTATGTGAAAATTTTCAACCTTGGGGTGCGTAAGGTTAGATAGCTAAGTAAGTGATTTCAGTGGGCATGTTTACACATGCAAATGCTCTGGGGTGGGTTTACTCTAGAGCAGGGGCATTTATTTCAGTTGGAGGGCTGCTTAATGAGTTTTGGTGAGCTGTGGAGGACTGCAAGGGTAGCCATCCCCCATGACAGGTGCCCTGCCCCCCTTGTTCACCGTCTTGGGACCAGAAGTCCTGCCCCTAACACCTGACCTTTGCTGCCAGAAATCCCTCCCCTTGCCCCCAGAAGCAGTCCTTTTGGGAGGGGAGGGCTGCCATCTTGGAACCAGAAAAAAAACCAAATCATTTACTAGAAGTCATATATACCTACTATATTTAATTTATTACCAACAATATTTTTGTAATGATTTGTGTTTGCACAGTGTATATGTAGAAATGATTGGATAATAACTCAAAAATAAAGTCTTACTCTTGTATATTGTACGTGGGAAGGATGTGGGGTGTGGTTGGGGTTTGTTAGGGCATCTGGCTGTGAGTGTGGGAGACATAGGGTATGTTGGGGTGTTATATATCTGTGGGGCTTGTGGGGTTAGGGTGTGGGTGTGAGGGGTTTGTGGGGTATGAGGACTGCCCCACACGACTCCCCTCCATGGCGCTCAGCTCCTGCCACCAATGGCAGCATCAGCAGCAGGCACTTGGGGCACTTGTGGTCCATACAGGTGCAGCCACCTCGTGGCACACCATACGCAGATCCAGTCAGTGCAGCATGTGGTGGCAGTGAGCTCAGCCAGGCCAGCCTGCCTCTATTGTGTGGGGCTTCCTGCAGCACATGTGCAGCTCCTAGCACTTGCCTGCCACTGGAGGAAGCCCCAGACAATGGAGGCACCTCCTTCCCTGGTCCCTGCCATGCACATCCCAGGATTCCACCAGGAAGCAGGGGGCAGGGCTGCCTTCTACTTCCAGTGCAGTCTGGGGCCTGCATGGCAGGGGGCAGGGAAAGCAGCCAGCTCCATCATGTGGGGCTTCCTCCAGTGGTGCACAAGTGCCAGGGGCTGCACATGCACTGTGGACAGCCACACATGATAAAGGTTATCCAGCCTGGGTACACTCCTCACCACCATGTGCAACACTGGCTGGAGTTGCATGCTGCCTGGCAGCAGTACCACACAGGCCATGAGTGCTCCAAGTACCCACTGCCTGCTGCTGTTGCTGCTGCTGGCAACAGGGGCTGTGTGCCATGGGGCAGGGGGAGAGAAAGAGCGTGGGATGGTTGTGATACCCCCCCACCCTCCCTCATACCCACACTGTGCCCACCCAAACTCCACAATCCCACCCTCCTCTGGGCATGGGCTCCGTGCTCCCACCAGCCCAAGCCCTACATTCCTGCCCAGCTGCAGCTCCCCCTCCCTCTGCTGGGTGGGGTACAATTGGTTGGTGGGCACCTGCAGGCTGAATGAAATTGCCTAGTGGGCCAGATCTGGTCTGTGGGTCTTATTTTGCCCACACCTGCTAAAGTAATTAATTCTAGGAGTAAACACATCCCAGGCAGGCATGTGCAGGGAAACGGTGGGGTGGCCATCACAGAGGGCAATCCAGTTGTCCTCGGTCCTCTATTGATACAAAACTCAATGCCTTTATGTCTTCTATTTTTCTCTTCAAAAGAATTTTAGTTGTCATTAAAGCAGGGTTCTAGTTCTCTAGAACTGAATTTTAGTTCTCTTCAAGAGAAAAACAGAGAACATAAAAGGCATTGGGTTTCATATCAATAGATAGAAGACAGAGTAGCAGAACACTGGAATGTCCTCTATGATGGCCACCCTAGAAAGCAGGAGCAGATTTGTTACTCATGGCAGCAGTCTGCTCCCACCCCTGCTGACCCTGCACCAACCCCCTGCAGCAGCCAAGGGGAGCTCTAGGCTCCACCCGAGTGCTAACCCAGGGGCTCGCAGGGAGCATGGGTCCAAGAGATAGCTATCTCCTGGCAGGGGCTCAAACATTGCTCCCTGCCCCCAGGGCAGGCTTCACCACTGGAGCCTGAATGGGGACAATGTTTTCCTATCCTGGCAGCTGAGAGCTCCTAGCCCCCGCTCTGCAAGTGTGACAACAGAGCTGGGGATGGAAGATTCTTATCTCTCAGCCATGGCTCTGCAACCTAGGAGTTGGGGCTGGGAGATACTTATCGCTTAGCCTCAGCTCTGCAACCATGGATCCAGGCTGGGAGATAAGAATCTCTCAGCCTCAGCTTCAAGGTTGCAGAGCCAGGGCTGAGAGATAAGAATCTTCCAGCTGCTGCTCCATGATTGTGGAGCAGGGGCTGGAAGCTTCCTGCTGGCAGGGCAGGAGGACATTGTGGTGGCAGTGGCAGAGCCCTTCTTGGCAGCACCCGGGGGCAGGGAGCAATCTCCTGCCCTCCCACCCCCTGCTACCCAGCTGATCAAAAGCACATTTGCTGCCAGTCAGCCATCTACATGTGCTGTACTGCACATTACTCCCAAGTACATTTGCTACTCGTATTTACAGGTAGCAACTTTACTGGCAATTAGAGCAAACTACTGTGCAGTAAGCATCTACACGTGTAGACAATCACACTTACTGCGCAGTAATTTGCTCCAATCTCAAGTGAAGCGTCTCCTGTAGATGCACCTAGTGACACTGATCTGCAGCTCCCTACCTATCCAGCACCAGTGCAAGCTGCTTCCCAACCACCGTACCCTTGTTGTAGAGTAAACTGTGTGCTAACATCTTTATGGCCAGATCTATTACTACAAAATGTGATAGTAAAGGATGTAATGTGCTATAAAAGAGTCACTGGCATAGTTGTTACAGTAAAAGCTCCTTCTTTGAATATAGTTTACTAGCAGAACTGTAGGAGATAAGTGGTCAAAATAACCACTGACAGCAAAAATACAAAACAGGCAAAAAATTATGTTTTGGTAATATAAAATGCATCCATGATTTGGAGGGCTTCACTGATAAAGTACAGCACTACAACTATACTTGCAAAACACTCCTAATATAGATCTAGCCTATTAAAGCCCCGACCACCCTGCTGCGACAAAGAGAAAATGAAAAAGTGAGCTAATAAAAGCTATTTTAAAGAGATTTTTGTTATGTGGGTATCTACCTTTTTTCCTAGAAAATGAACTGAGAAACCAAATCTGATCAGGAAACTATTCACATAGTGTAAACTAAGTGAGATTTAATCAAAGCCATGATCTATATTCACGCATAGGTTAATGCTTTTTCCCCATAGAAACATGGGATAAATCTAATCCTTACTCGATACACAATAACTATTTTCAGAAACATGAGAAAGTCACCGCTTATTTGCCTGCCTTCCTTAAATATACCATATTTCTTTTAATGTTAGAATTCCACTAAATAAACTGCTCATCCATGGTAAAGCAATGAAAGAGATTTTCCTAGTACACACACATACACACACCCCACATATACACCAATAACTTATATATGGTTAAGTTACTGGTGGTCTAAAAATCTTAAATTCCAAACCATTTATATAATGGAGTTTTCAGCTTTAGCTTAACTCTACATACATACACACACACACACATATACACATACACACACACACACGCGCATATAGGGCTATGCGAAACAGCACCATTTTGTTTCAACTTCTGTTTCTCCATTTTGAAGGGACAGTGTTTTGTTTCACTGTTTCATTTAGGTTTCGAAGCACCGTTCTGTTTCGTTTCATCAAAACTGTTTCGCTGTTTTGACGTTTTGTCAATAGGCTATAATGGGGAAACATGAAAAGGCTGAGGGGCTATGCCAGACTCCTCCTGAGGGCTCAGGCCCCCAGATCTGCATGACAGATGAAAGAAGGCTGCTCCCACCACCTGGGACTGGCACTGTAACCAAGTAAGCCCAGCTTCGAAACTCAAAATGTTTTGAAATTTCAAAACACTTCAAGTGCCCTCTTTTCATTTTGAAGCTGTTTCTAAACCTTTTGTTTCATTTTGATTTCACTGTTTCAAGCTCGAAACAGCTTTGAAATGAAACACCCAGCAAAATTTCACACAGCCCTACTACATATATGTAGACACACATACATACATATATAGATATGTACACATACACACACAATAATTGTATTTATATAATAAATAAATAAATATAATAGATCTGTTCTAATCTGTGAAGGAAGAAAAAAGAATAAAAGGAAAAATAAAAAACAACAAGAAATAGAAAAGAAAAGAAGTGCCAATAAAATACTTAGCAAAATGAAAGCACTTCAGAAGAGTCCCTTTCACTGAAATGGCCTTATCTCAAGAGATGCCTTAACTCTGTCTTTGAGAAAGCTCAGCCTTCAGAGGTTAATTCTAAAAATCATAAATGCATAAGAAAATCTTTAAGCTATATTCCCCACTAGACAAACAGCATTCCAAATCCATGTAGTCTAAGTGCCTAAAGGAAAAAGATTAAGAGTATTCTAAGGCAAGTATATCACATGGATTTAACAATTTTATCACTATCAAAACTACCAAGGCAAGCTTTTTCCCTGCACTTCTTGCAACTACACAATTTTGTAGCAAAACAAGTATAGCAAAACCGCTTCAACTTTAACCCTGCTTTATTCATGGTTTGAAATAAAGTGATTTAGTTCACATGCACCATTACAGGTTCATACAAAATCAACCAGTTACAGTTTAAAAGCTGCTGTTGATTCCCCAGAAATAGTTCCTCCCACCCTTCTAAAGCAGGTCAAATACATTTGTCCATACCCTTTGGACACAGACAGAAGTGCAGCTCCTGGGTCTAAAAATATAGCACTTCAAATAAAGCATTATGAGTTAGACTGATCCTCCTGACCAAAG